CTTAATAGTTCGAATCCTAAGTGAAGCTAATAATTTTAATATTTTGTTTCAATTAGTATTATAATTAGCAATAAGTTAATTGAATTCTGTATGATATTATAAAGCAAACATCTTTTAGTACAAGAAAAGGCTCCCATTTTTCTCGAAATGGAAATGGTGTTTCTTTTTTTACCCTCTCATCCAAACCAATTCGAATAGCCATAAAGAAACTTTGACTTTGTTCATGTCCCTCCCTTTTCTTCTATTTTAACATTTTTATTGAACAAGAATTGTCGTAGCACTCCAGCTCTTGTCCTTTATTAGGAAAGCGCGTAGGGATTTGGATCTAGATTATACGTTTATCACATTCTTGCCAGTTTTAACTTCTAACTTTGGAATACTTTTTAGGTCTCGTGAATATATCATCAACCCAAGGACATGAATAAGGAATAGATGTCATAATTCTCATTACTAAAAGTTTCCCTAGAACAATATCCTGATTGTAGTTAAAGAATTGTGGTTGTTTTTAATTGTAAAACTAATATAGTGCTTTGGTTATGAAACTTTTGCATTGTAAAGTTGTAATGTTATTCAAATTACCAGAACCGAAGTAACAAGTTTAAATGTTTGTGGTAAACTCAAAATAGAAATTGAAATTGTGTTAAGGTGTAATTTCTGTTTCTGGTGGCCATGGTTTATTGTACAAGGCAATTATCAAATTGGCTGCTAAAGGGTTTCAAGTCTAAGTGAGTATCGTTATTCATTATGATGGTTTAATTTAGAGTATAAACATGGCTACTTCCAAAAAGGGTATTGAAACACTAGTTTCAACCAATCAATGGATATTCAGTTATTTTAGCGGTTCTTAGCTTTATTATTATCATTGAAAAAAAATTCTGGATTGACAAGAATTTTATGGGTTAGTTATATCAATTACAGCTTTCATTTTTCTCAGTTTGATATCAATTTGGAAATATAGTTTAAAAAAGGATAAAATATTATTCAAAGTCCAATATTACCTCAACTCATTCCTTGTGAAGTGTTGTTTCCATTTATTTGGGATAATTCTAATTATTAGACATTATATCTAAATTTTCGTCATGAATTCCTTAAAAAAATACTATCTTAAAGATAAGCAAGTGGTTGATAAGTTCGAAGTCATTTTATTAATTATGTTAATTATATTAATAGTGCATTTGTTTTGAAAATTCTATTTATATTTTTATGTTGGAATTTCATTCATATAAAATTCCTTTTCTTATCGTGCTTCATCAGATCAATTCCATTCAAGCCTTAAAAATAGTATTTCTCTATCAGCATGTTCTTGAGGAGTTCATTATGTGCTTCCTTTATTTAAGGAATTGCCAGCAATTATATATCATCCGATACTTTGAATATATATCCTATTAATAAATCAGAGTTCCATTGATATGATTACCAATAACTTTTTTATTTGGTTGTAGGAAGTCAAAATGACCTTCGAATGCTGCTATGGCTACAACCCCTGTCTTATACACGACGTCACAATTTTTAATAGAAATGGAAAGAAATAATATAATATATGAAATTTTTTTTTGAATAGAGTTTGTTCTACAATAATAATTGAGATCATGATTTTATTAAATGACCTTAATTTGTTTTGAGTGTCATTTATTAATAAAAGTTGCCCACAGAATGATAACTAAAGCAAATATTGTAATTTTTAATATAAATAATTCATATTGTTTTTTGACAAGTAAACGTAGAATTAGTAATTCGAAAATTCATGAAATAAGAACAATCCGTTCAAGACATTTTAAAACGCTAACCGTTAATAATCGGAGCAATCACAATTGTGCTATTGTCCATAAACTATATTAATTTAACTGAAATAAGTAAATCAAATAAATTTAAACAGATACTAGGAACGGTAATATTTATTTGAAATATTGTTAAATTCAAATAATTATTATTGATCGAAGTGGTTGCTAGGAGTGGTGTACCCATTAATCATTCAAGTAAGTTCATATTAAAGGATATTTTATCACAGTCTGAATTGAATACATCAAGACAGTAAACTTACGTAATGATTATTTTCTATATTATAGTTTCACTTCCAGGAAAGTGAATATCATTAAAGTTAATTGTATTGCTATTTTGCCTTTTGATTTATATGAGTTGCCTATTTCTTTAATTCAGGCTCGTAAGTTCCCACTGTTTCAGTTTTCGCTTATATAAGGAAAATATATTTATCACCATTCGAGGGTTCATTTTAATTATAAATATTAATAAAAATTATTAACTGAGTTCAACTTCTCTGCTGTTGACTTATAGATTTACTTGTAAATCGAAGCTTTTTGAAACCTTTTCGATAAACCAAGGAATTTACCACTGTAACTACAGGTCTTTGGATATATAAGTGGTAACTATTTTCAGTGACTAAATTGGAAGTGGTTGTTGCTGCTTATTATCTTTAGTATATGCCCAACTTAATTACTATAATTTCTTAATTTCAAAAATTATGTTATTAACTGGTGTAAAAGACCATATTTGAGATCAAGCTAATTTAATTTACATCGTTTCATAAATTTGAAGTTGGGTACATTCTCTATCAGTTTCAATTATGAACTTAAACAAGATGGTATGAACGAGTATTCTAGATAATTTGACAAAGACAATATAGGATTGTCTACATTTAGAACTGTAATAATATTATATACCAGTATTATTAAGGTTAATTCCATCTGGTCCTTATCACCATACGTATTTTGGTCTCAGATCTATAGTAAGGTTTTATCCAATATAAGGTTTTAAAAGCCTGTTAACCTTTAAATTAGCTAAAATTAATATTAACATTGCTTATAGTTATTTAGCAAACAAGGTAGCAATGCTTGTTGAAATGGCATATTGATATGGGACATATGTTTTCCATACACAAGATTTGATTAACTGTATCAATATTGTTGCAATATTTATTAATGGATTTCAATTATACCATTGAAGCAGAAGTTTTCGATAAATTTGAAACAAAACTTATTTGGAAAACTTTATATTTCAACTTACCTAGTAATAATATAATTACCCATTTGAATAGAAAGTTATTAATATGAAAAATTAACCAAATATCTTGTGATTATCCCCTTTCTAAATCCATGGACATAAACTACTGCATACTTGTTTCAATGGTAGAATCAATCAATCTAAGATGTATATCAACATCTTTAATCAATTCCGTTGATACAAGGTGAAGAAATCATTGTTAGAAGTTAAATTTGATAAGATCTTTTGTTCAAATAATGAATAAGGTATTCAATTTCAAACCAAAATCAATTTGAAATTAAGAAATATTCATTTAGGAGGAACACCAATTCATCAATTGCTGTATTCGTTTTGCTTATAGTGACTCTCCTGTTCATGAACATCTCTGATCTTGATTACTAATGAAATATTCAAATTTCAAATTATTTTCCTACCAGGTTTCATTGGATCAAGAGATGTGACCGTAAAGGAAACGAGACTAAAATAAAAGGAAAAAAGTGAATCTGCTAAGCTTATAAGGGAGTATTTAAGGTAGTAGTAAAGTGACAATCTTTAAAATTTATAGTTCGACAGTTAATTCAATTATTTTATACTTATATTTGTAATACACATATAATTGGTATTCTCAGAGACAAACTAAGGATAACAACATATCTATATATAAATTTAAACATGGTTTTAGCTAAGCAATGGGTTATGAAGAATCAGCCTGTACCAGGCACTCCTTTTAATATGGATATGAATGATCCAAATGCTACTTTTGAATTGAAGGAAGTGGAATTGAATGAAGGTCAATTAAAAGAAGGTGAATTTTTGGTTGAAACTTTGTTGTTATCTAACGATCCTGCCCAAAAATTTTGGATTGCAACTGCTGATAAAAACTATGCTGCTGGTATTAGTCCAGGTGAATTAGTCCCAGCAAGAGGTATCGGTAAAGTTATTGCATCTAAAAATCCAGCATACGAAGCTGGTGATTACGTTTCAGCTAATGTTAATTGGACCACTTATATTATTTTAAATGAAGGTGGAAAATTCCCTGTCCGTAAGGTCTCTAAAGATGAAGTTGGTGATTTATCATGGCATTTATCTGCTTTAGGTGGTACTGCTTTGACAGCTTACTTTATCTTTTACAACTACGCTCAATTACAAGAAAGAGAAGAAGATTACGGTAAAGTTTACCTAATTTCTGGTGCTGCCGGTGCTGTAGGTTCATACTGTATTCAATTTGCATTACATGTTTTTAAGGCCTCTAAAATTATTGCTATTGCAGGTGGTCCAGAAAAGGTTAAATATGTCGAATCGTTTGGAGATAAAGTTGTCGGTGTTGATTATAAGGATCCTTCTTTCAAAGAAAACTTAATCAAAGCTGCTGGCGGTCCAAACACTGTCGATTACTTTATTGATAATGTTGGTGGCGAAATTTTAGATTTAGGTACTTACTTATTGAAACAAAAGGCTATGTTACTTGCCTGTGGTTCAATCAGTGGTTATAATGACACCTCTAAGTTTGTTTTCAAAAATTACGTTTCAGTTATCACCAAAAGATTAACCATTAAAGGTTTATTATTAACTGATAACTTGACTGATTTCCCAAAGGGTTTGAAAAAATTAATTGAAATGATAAAAGCCGGCTACATCGATGTTTCCAAGACTGAAACTATTGTTGATGGTACTGGTGAAAACTTCAAAGAAGTTCCAAACTTATGGAATGGTTTGTTTAAAGGTATTAACAAAGGTAAACTAATTACCAAAGTTAACGAATATTAAAGGAAACCAACCCTTATTATATAACGTTCTAACACATCGTATCTTATATCAGGAAGAACCATGAAACGTACATATTTATACATATCTATTTAACTATTCAACTATTTTATTATGTTTCGAATCCACGCTGAGTGATAAAAAGAACAAAAGAAAAGCAATGCTACTACCAACTTAGGCAAAACGGAAATGTAAAGTCAATATCTTAATGTAGTAACAGAAGTTCTTGACCTCTTAGATGTCTAAGCCAATTAAATAAACGGAGTTGCTAGACTGGAAAATGCAACCACAACGAACTGCAGTAGCTGCTGCTTCTCGAAGTCTGTTTTTCTTATTTTAAATTTTGGTTTAGCTTTTTTTGGTCTAATAAACATTGACTTCCTTAATTTACTTCTATTAATCGATTACCATTTTGAATTTCGCAAGGTTTCTCTTTAGAGAAAGTAAATTAACTCAGCTCCTAAGTATGGTTAAATGGTTATGAATTAGCTTAAGTATCTAAATGGTAATTATTTGTCAATTATGAATAGTACGTGTAAAATTCTAATTAAGTAAGAAAAGTCAAAAGAAATAAATTAGTTTCTTTGTTTATGGATATTCTCTATAAGTGATGGATATTTTTAGTAGAAGCTAAAAGGTATCGATGTATGTTGGAGTGAAATTGATTTATAGGATACAATTTTATGGTTCTTTCATTTTTTTTTAAATAAAATAAGAGAATTACACTAATTAATTGATTAATTAAGAATCAGTTAAAAAATGTGAGAATTTGGCTTATAGTAAGAATAGTAACGAAAATAACAAAATAAGAATTAGTTCATTAACCAACTTAACAAATGATGCTGTCTTGTTCTATTAGTCTTAGTTGTTATTGCTGAACGCAATCGGATGGATATTAATATCGATATATATAAATTTATTTATACTTGTATGTATGTGTATATGAGCGTGTGCACTTATTTTACTTTTTCGGTATTGATATTAACAACCAACGCAGGGAGAGCAAGTATTGAGGAAATGTCAAATGATGTAAAAGGTAAGTTCTAATTACTTTTAGTGATATCTTTCTTGGCCATTAATTTACGCATAGAATAGTTATATATCGTATGTATTACTAGGACAATAAAATTATCATCAATAAGAAAGTTGTTGAGTTGACTTTGAATTGATTAATATGATTTGAACCAAAGCTATTATTTATCAAGAGTATTTATTAAAATGTCTTTTGTTTTATAACTATTTTTACGTTGGTGTTTTTTTTTGTTTCCCATGTAGTCACATTATCAATTAATCTCTTTAAGTAGAGGTATCAAACGATATATTTCATGAAGCTATTGGATGTAATGAAAAAAAGGACGTTTAAACTTGAAATATGAGTATATTGACTTGTTTTTCTTGGTGGGACATATAGTACATTGTCTTGCAAGTAAAAGATGGAGTATTCCAACTTCAGAGTAGATTGAAAGAGGAGATGAAGTAAAATTCAAGATATGAATAGAGATGTCTTCAATTAGTAATTCGATGGGCTCATTAATGTTGAATTCATCCATCGATGTTTTAGACACTAGTTTCTTTTTAAGAAAGATAAATAAACTAAATAGTAGAAACGTTGTTTTAATCCAAAAGGAAATTAAGAAACTCACGTACTTGATTTTGTCTCTATTAAACAAAAGCAAAAATAACTTATAATGATTAGTTAAAATCTCGACTGTACGTAAGTAACCACCTACATTGAACATAAACACATTTATTTATGTATACGTTAGTTCTCATTGTCTAATAAATGTATAAATATATATATACATTCATATAATATATTTATACATTTAAAACATCAGTAAATTGTTGCGGCTGCTTCTACTGCAAGTGTTACTGCTACGTTTGACAGTGTTGTTTTTATTATCGCGTAGAACCAAGATAGATTACATACCACATCAAGCGGTAGGTAAACCACACCCCTCCCCTCCAACGCTTTCCCTACCGCCTCCCTGCCCCCTTCCTGTTCTTTGTTCCCATCCATCTCACCACCCTCTCAAGGCAGACCATCCCATCATCAACTTCATCTTAATCTTCATCACCACATTAATCAAAGTGTAATAGCAACACCTTATAGCTTGGCCAACCATAAATATATATGCTATTCTTTCCAAACTATGTATTCGAGAGCTCTTGAAAACTAACCAAAAAAAAAGACAGTAACCCAATCGACAGCAATCAATGAGCGTCCAAATTTAAACAAAAGACACCTACTTCCAACTGAAAACAGGTAAACCTTAAGCATAGGAAACTAACTATTCATTTACTCACTCATTCACTATTTCATTCACTCATTCTTGTCAGATCATGTAACTAAATACATCAACTCTTCTATCACCGCCCTTGTACGACAGTTTCTCCCCCCGAGCGGTCCATTGCTTCCCAACTTTGCTCGAAGAAGATTGAATCCCATCTGGTTTTAAATAAAAAAAGAAAACAGATGCTACTGAGAATCTTCCGTATAACGAGTCTGAAATTACTTCATTCCAATTAGTTCGAGGAAAAGGTTAAAATTTCAAAGGAAAATTTTTCATTATTGTTATTACGATCAAGGAAAGACAAAGAATGGGAAAAAAGCCAAATTTAGATAGCAGATGGTAAGTTTGTAATGTAATAGAGAAGTTTGATAGTTTTACGTAGAGGGTAGAGGGAATTTACTGTTAAAAAGAAACAGAGAGACTGATAGATCATCATTTGATTACTATATTGTGATTCTTGTCAGTTTAATACCATTTTGAACTACATCTATAGGTTGCTAACGAGATAAACGTTGGTGTGCAGTTTCTTTTATCAAGGAGAAGAGGGACGATATAGCAAACATCTTACTCTAGTTTGAGGCAAAAACACACAGAAGTAAGATAAACACACACATATACACGGTCGTACATACATAGATATAGAGAGAGACAAACTTAAAGAAGTATAACATTCTGGAGAGAGTTTGAGTTACTGAAAATACACATAGTGCCTATCTCTAACTTAGTCTTAAAATAAATTATATTGGAATTAAAGTAAAGAGAGAGAGGAGTAACTGAAATCAACTACGTACTGATTGCTTGGTTAATTATTTGCCTTTTCTACTTTTGTTTTTTGTGTATTGTTGTTTTTAACTATAGTTTATACTAGTTATTATAATAATACTAAACCATGACTTCAGATCATGACAGTATAGATGGTATTGTTGATTTGTTGACCAGACGAGATATCCTATCGCATGAGCGTGTTTTGATCAAAAGTACCGTAGCAATTTCAAGTGATGAGGAGTTCTTGAGTGGTCCTTTAAATCAATTCCCAATTAAAAAAATTACTATACCAGAATATACTATTGAAAAAGCACAAGATACACCAGGATGTTGTTATATAATGAGCAAAAGAGATCCACAAGGTGAGAAAAAAATAAAGCAAAATGGGGAATTATTGTGTGGCAGAAAATTTTTGTTCAATACTTTTAAATTGAAAACTAGAAATAATAATGTTTTAGTCTTAGTTAATGATTTAATTTCTTCCTTACAATTGGATTATAATGAAGAAAAATTCTTGGAAGAATATAATCAATTGCTCCCGTTAGAAGCTTCTCTTTCTGAAAGAGAATTCCTTAAAGATAAAAATTTAATCCCAATAGATTATCCAACTGAAAAACCTATCAAGTTCATTGTTGCAAGAGTTGCCTTTGTACAATTTGGTGCCTCGATTATTGTTGCAGGAACAAGAATAATTGATGATTATTGGGAAACAGTAGCTAAAGACGAAGGTTTTACATCGCATCACAGAGTCTTTAAGTTCACCGATAAGTTATTCAAATTATACCTTTCTTTACAACCGGGATTCAACATTACAAACAGTTCAAATAAGAATCACGATGAAAATTTAGAACTAATTAACGAAAATTCAAACATCAATTATAATTTAGAAGAATTGGAGAATCCTTCTTTAACTGTAATTGAACAAACTTCGGCTGATGTAAGAAAAGAGTACCTAGCTAGATTCAGCAAAGGTGAACCAATGACTTTTTCCGTTCCCGGACAAAATATTAATGGTTCTCTTGATATAAGCAATCAATATAAAATACCCAAGTATCATAACAGATATTCATTCCAACAGGCTACTCAGATGAATGCAATGGATTTGCCTATCTTTGAATCTCCGGAATCAATCAGGAATAACGCTGATAATGAATCTGATTTGAATTCACCAACTGTAATGCCTTCATCAAAATCAAACTCGCCTTCAATTCCAATGCTTGAAATTCAACATCCTTCTACCACCAAACCAGTAAGACGTATGGTAAGCTGTCTTTTGGATAGTGGAAATGACACTAAATTCGATAAAAAGTCTTCAAAAAGCGACTTGTTAGATATCTCTCAAGAAACAAAGATAACAGATGATTCTTTAACTATAAATGGTTGGAAATTCGGGATTCTTCCTATTTTATCTAAAGATATGGAAACTACCAATTCAACTAAATATGCAGCCTCTGGCTTGCCTTACTTTGATAAAGAAAAACTAATTCCAAGATTGAAGAAGTTGACTCCAAATCAAATCAAGGAACTTGAACATATGCACGATGCTGTCTCTGTTAGTGGTGGTTTACAAACTGCAAGATCAGTACGACAGAATAAATGGTTCAAATACTGGCAATACAAATCAGGTGTTCCAGTAGGTTTGAAGAAATATCAATATAAATATTTTAAAGATGTTTATTTAAAAGAAATTTTGAGTAAAGAAACATCATATACAGAATATGATGAGGTAACTAATACTGACAGGACGTACATAACGGCAAAAATTCCTGGGGCTAATTTCTTAGATAATTCAAATATTAAAAATTTTAGCCCACCATATGGTGTACCCCCAAAAAAATTACAGAGCTAGTTCACTTGTATTATTAATTAAGTATATTCCGGTAATATCACACTATTGTACCGCGGTATTTTAGAATATCAGATACTATATATCATTTTTTATATATAACGATTGTCATAGTACAGAGATAGTAATAAATAATTTATTATTCGAATTAGATATTATACATTACAATAGTTTGGTTTTGATGATTTCTTGTCTTATTCTGAAAGTGTAATATGCCATAACTGACATTATGAATATTAATGGGATTATCCAAATTGTCAATTTACGAACTATTTCATCAATATGAGTGCCACTTTGTCCTGTACGTTTAGAAGCTTCTCTTAGTTTTTGTGATTCTTCTAACAAGACTTCCAATTTTTCATTCAAACCAATAAAGTCATTAAAACTTTCCATGTCAACTTGAGTCTTTGATTCACCATCTTGAGACTGTAATCTGTTACTCAATGCCTGAGTTAAATGACCGACTTGTTTCAATATGTCTTCTTGTCCCTTCATTAAGGCGACGATTTGGGTTTCCAATTCATGAATGTCGTTTGCCAAAACTTTACCTTCGACCCTATCCAATTTTCTATAAATTTCATAGTTTGAAATCTTTTCAGTTTCTGCATCAAAAGCAGTCTTTTCAACTAGCTTCTCAGCACCGGTATCTTTATCGATAACTTTAGTGATCATCTTTGGTTGGGGCATACTGTTGACATTTGGAATATAAGAATCCTCAATAACACCATCGAACGTTTTCATCTTAAATAATTCAAAATGTTCAGGTGTGTTGCCATTATCAGCAGTAACACCAATACGGTAATTACCCTTAGGGATTTGAACTTTTCTAGTTTGGAAACAAACTCTGTTATCAACTTGTAATTTTAATAGATTGTTATCATTTCTATCGTAAGTTAAACGCAAAGTAGAAGGAACTGAAGAATCTTGATAACCCATTAAACAATAAGCAAATGTTTTGTCATACAAATCAGCTTTAGGAACTGGTTTAGAACCGTCATTTAAAATTGCACGAATACTTGGACTGACCGGACCGTTGTTGTCAACTAATAATTGCAAACCATCATAAGTTGATGGTCCATTGAATAAAGCCTGATCATCCTTTTGAGCACCGGTAATAAACCAAAAAGATAACCCACCTTCTGATTTTCCTACATGGTTAACACTTCTAAAAGTCCATTCAATTGTGAAAGAATCTCCCAGTGGATAAGAAGTTTTATGCCACAAACTACCTTTAGTACTCTCCTTTGGAGTCAGAATTATTCTACCTTCTTCCAATACAGAAGAACCTTGGACATCCCAAACGTCTGGTATTTTTTTCATATTCAAGACATTGGTCAAAGAAAAATCTTTATTCAGCTTTATTTCATCTGTATTATCTATAGGATGAGAGCAAACCAGCTTCACCAATGCAAAAACCTGTAAAATAAATAGTCCAGCTAACTTCATTTTATTACTATTATTAGGTCTAAATATTAAAAAAAACTGGCAAAATGAAAAAATAAAAAGACAGAATTAAAGGGAAAATTCAAATAAAAACTTGACTTTATAAAAATATTCCAATAACTTAACAAATACCAAACAAGACCTCGAATAGTATACCTGAATCCTACCTGACCTTATATCAAAATCTACTAGAATTATCAATATTTTAACATTCATGTAACGATTTCTTGATCTAGGTTCGATTTTATTACCTTTAAATATTTGTCTTGTCGAAATCAAGAATTTTGTTTTCCATATCCACATCGTATGATATGATCAAAAGTGGTGTTAAAAGAAGAAAACCGGTATTACGTCATAATTGGATTATTGGGGGGAATTTTGGAATTGTATCACGTGATAGTAATGTGTCAAAGAAGCCCATGGTATATTAAACAAGAAACCTATTGATTGTCAGTCATCTCCATTGTAAAAGAACAGATCAGTTCTTGAAATATTAAATATATATGTGTATACTCTCAACCGGTTAGAGTTTTTGGATCATAAGATGAATTGAATTCCATCGGTTGCCCCCAGGTTGCTAAAAATAGTTCATCTATTTGGGCAATATCTGTAGAATAAATAAATAATTGATAATCGTAATATACTGGAATATAGATTTACTTAAAATTGATCTGGGGAATGGGAAAAATGTATGAAAAAAAGATATGTGTTTTTTAAATATTTAAACTTTCTTTTTTGAAATCTTCAGCTCTAAATGCATCATGATCGTCATGGTTATATGGTACTATCAAAATAGGTTAACAAAGACGTTGTCTTTCAAATAACGTTTCGCGATAAGCATCTGATTCAATGTCTATTTCTCTATCTGAATAACAATCATAATCTTCCGTGAGGATGGTGTTTTCTGATTCCCTCAGATCGAAATCGATCATATTTAATTCCACTTCATGTATCACATTGGAACCATAAATAGTTGGGTATTGGCATTCTTCAAAATTAGCTTCTACTATTGTAACTAATATTTTGCAATCCATATCCGCCATTTCTGAGTCATAGAAGATAAAGGAAGGATCGAGTTTATTAAGTGTTTTCATTTTTTCCAATATAATTGTATCTAAAACCTCAATCTCAAGACTGTTTAGATCCGAAATAAACTTAGTCAAACCTTCCAGAGGATTGTCGCACAAAATACTCGAATTCATCAATAAACCACAGTCAGAAAATGCAACTGAATTTAAATCGATTTTTATATCGCTTTCTGTAATGTTTTCAAATATGCTATTTAAAACTTCTATAATTTCAGATTGAACGCTATGTTCAATCTCGTATATCTTGCCTATTAAGCTACTCCTTGGAAGACTAATTAATAATCCATAAAAATCGATGCCCTTCAGTTCTTTGTGATACACCAACACAATCAATGTTAAAAAATGTCTAAATATTAGCATATTTTTAGTGCCTCTATCAATATAACAAAAAGTTTCACCTTCCATATTGCTTGATATTCTATATTGAAATGTTAATACCTTTCTTATCCTAAACCTTTACAATGAAACAAACTAGAAAGAACACTTTAATAAATCTTTTAGAGGAGTCATATATGTAGATGTAGATTTACATATACATATATATATATATATAACTGAGTGTACATCATCGAACGCTAAGCCAATTAGTGACATTCTGCCATTTACTGGCATTGTCAATCTGATACAGCTTCTATAATTAGCAACTATTTACCGATCGGACTAATCATTGGCCCTAAATGAATACTGCAATTTTGGTAGCGCTTTGAAATCATCAAATAATCAAACAGTACTTAACTTGTATATCAGAAATTGATTCGAAGTTAGATCAAATCAGTTATATATGCCCTTATATTTGGATCTCTTTGTAAAAGTAAAACGACAATGAGTTAGATTTTCATCTATTTGAGTTTATATTATTCATCTTAGATTATTTCCTTGATATAGATCGAAAAAATAACATTTATTGGTTCAATTATAATACCCAAATGCCTGGGTTTGTCGATAATTTTTGGTCAGAAGACCTTACTACAGGGTTAGATGTATTATTTGAAAGACTATATCATGGATGCGAGCAATGTAATTCTTTTATACAGTTATTTGCTACTCGAATGCAATATGAGGTTGCATATGGTCGTCAACTTTATGGGGTAGGTGGTGATATTGATAATCTAGATGTTACTGGGCGTGATCCAAATGTTAGTATTGAACGTGCTCTACAAACAATGGTTAAATCGATTTCAGAAGAAGGTGAGGCACACCTTACTATAGCTTCCAATATCGAATCTTTGATTTTAAGGCCTTTTAGCAAATGGAGTAATGATCATAGAGAAAGAGTTAAATATTCTGAAAAATTATTGAAAAGTAATGCTAGAAACTTTCAAAAATCAAGAACTTATGTGACAAAATTAGAGAAAGACTATTTTAACAAGTGTAGAAAAATAGAAGATTTCAAAAATTCAAAATTCAATGAAGATGAATTGAATAAAGCAATGGAACTGTTAAAATTACAGAAACGTTATGAAGATAATTTGGCAAGAGAAAGAGAATTTCAAAAATTTGCAACTGTTGGGACAATTGATTTTGATTATAAAACAATGAGAGAGACATTGACACTTTTTCTAACGAAATTACCAAAATCTGACTACAAATTACCTTTAATAAATTACAGTTTACAAAATACAAATAGCGGAAGTGAAATTACAAAATTTATACTTCAAAATATGTCATTAAAGGATATGGATCATGCTGAATTATTTGGTCAAGATTTGTTGAATTTGGGATTTTTAAAATATTGTAACGGGGTAGGAAATACATTTGTTAATTCAAAGAAGTTTCAGTATCAGTGGAAAAATTATGCCTATACTTTTGCAAATTTGCCATTACCTGGTGAAGATGGCAGTAATTCAGGTGCAGAAGACAATGAAGAATCACAATACACCAATATTAAGGAAATTAATGATAGTTCTACTGAGTCTGAAAACAAATATGAAGCTGTAACAGAAATGCCAAATATTTCAACTGATGAAAGTACTTTATTCTCTTACATGAAAGATGTTGAAGTATCTGATAAAAAGTATCGTAAGGAAAGTTTTAAAATGGATACTCTAAGATGTTCTGTTGAAGAATTGATGATTGATCATTTGTCATTTATGGAGAAATGTGAGTTGGATCGAATCAAGGCAATCAAGAAAGCTACTTTTGACTTTTGCTCTATACTAGGTAACAAAATCACTTCACTGAAAATCTGTGTAGATAAAATGATCAACAGCGAGGATTCGATTGATCCTATAGAAAGTTTATTACAATTAATTTCTAGATATCATACCGGTGTTTTTCAACCTAAGGTTATTTCTTATAATAATTACTATAATCCAGGAGCTTATCAAATATTTGGTATTGATTTAGAGACTAGAGCGAGACTTGATAAAAAAGTGGTACCACTTATTGTCTCTGTTATACTTTCTTACATGGATCAAATTTATCCTGACCTTGCCAATGATAAAGTGAGAACTTCTATTTGGATCGCTCCAGTAAAACTAAAATTGACACATGAATTGAGAGCACTGTTAAATACTCAAGTCTTTAAAGACGATGCAGATCTGCTAGAGATATTAAAGAAAGCAAATTATGACCCTAGTACAGTTTCAAGTGTTTTGAAGATATACCTATTAGAGTTACCTCAGCCACTAATTACAGATGAAGTTTATGATATACTTAAAGTTCTCTATGAAAAATACCCGCCTGAAAGAACAAATTTTAGGAAGATCCAAATCGATGAAAAAGACAGTGATAAGAAGTCAGAAGATGAGGGCAACCGCAATGATGATGCCAATACTTATAAGAATACAGAAAGTGAAAATGATACGAATAGAATCAGGGGATTGTACACAACACTGTCGTCACTATCGAAACCTCACATTGCAACATTGGATGCCATTAGTACGCATTTTTACAGGCTGTGTAAGATTTTAAGAATGGGTGAGAATGGTGAACAGATGGCATCTGATTTTGCATTAGCAATATCTCAAGAATTTGCGAATTGTATTATCCATGTTAGGCTTTTGGACGGTAATGACTTGGGATGCAAAATATTTTATGACCTATTAACGCATAAGAAGCAAATATTTAAGGTTTTAAAAGGTCAAGTCTCTAAGCAAAAGAGGGATAAGGATTGATACAGCTCTCGAACAGCACCATTAAATACCCAATTAATCATCAATTCAAAGTTTATTTATTTGATTGTTTTATTATTTAAATCTCTTAAAGAAGTTGAGCGTAAGTACGATCAACTAATAATTATCCTTCGGTATCCGTTATTTACATAAAACTAATTAAAACCATATATATAAATAAAAACAATAACTCCAAATACAAAGAAAAATAAATCGTCAATACTTTAATTAATTTTTGTCTTCATCTCTTAATTTATCCAATTCCTCAGCAAATAATCTTTTAGGTTTAAATCTATCCTTTTCTTCAGGCGTCAGCATTCTCTTCTCTATCACTTCTCCCTTTTTGTTTAAATATGTAATTGAGTTTTCAATATCTGGATTTTCTGATATGAGAGTTTGTTTCCTACTGTATAACTCTTCTTGAGTTGGAATAGAATCCGAGAAGAATGGATTTACTGAACTATTCTTAGATATAAGTATTTCGTTGTCATCGTCTGATTGGTCTTCTAAATATCTTTCATCATGCCATTGTCTAGCCATTTCAAAAGTCGTTATTTTATGGCTTGGAGTACCAGGTACTGTTTTCATGGATTTAACTTCCCTTTCAAACTGTTCATCCTCTTCTACTGCTAGTTTATTGAACAGGTTTTTACGATTGTTCGATAGGAAAACGTTATTATGATCATTAAATATTAAATTATTCGATTGGTGAGACCTTAAAGTTTTTGAATCCACTTCAGGGAGCTCGACCAAAGGTAAAGATCTCTTAGTCGTTATTGAACTACGACGGTTAGGAGTATATGCAGGAGATTTTAAACCTTTATTCGAATTTTTTGTAATTGATGGTGGTGCCAATAGAGGTACATGCTTAAATTGTTTAGTTGTGGAAGGAGTCACTGGAGCTGCCATCTGCGATGGCTTCCTCGGAGTTGAAAACGAAATATCTTCACTTGAAGTCTCTATATAGGAATCTTCATATATCATTTCGGTTGACATTTTCGACACACCTCTCGACCTTGGGGGTGTGGCAGGATTCAAACTTGTATCATCCATATTTTGAAGTTTAATATTCAATAACTATTACCTACGATGCTAAATGAACAAAACAAATAGTATATGATTATTCAGTGAGGGAGGGAGGGGTAAATGCTTGTTCTAGCAAATAAAACTAAATTAACGTTGCTCCAACAAGGATGAATATAATAGTTAAAAAACTTCACTGATGACACACCAAAACTTCGGCAACTATTTGTAAAAGTCTCGTCTAGTTGTGATTAACCCAATCTAAATGCCCAATAGATATTAAATGATATTGTATTATAGTAAAAAACGTATAATAAATATTAACTGTCAATGGATATCAATCTCTTATATAATACTAGACCTGTGTCTTGGAAAGATAACAAAAATTAAAAGATTTGCAATTCTTAGGTATACTCTCTTTCTTTATATCTCAAACCATCAAAGACCAACAAAAAAAAAAAGTTATAATCCTTTTTTTTTTTTCTTGCTTTACTGACAGATCAATCCCTTATAATGAACAAAAACCCAGCTATAATCCCAATTCAATCAGTTCTGTCTTACCAGCAACTAACTTTTAACCATCCATCTGAATATATTTGGTCCATTCTTAATCATCTAAACCTTTTACAGCTTTTAATTTGAACTTGAACCAGCCATTTCAATTTACTGAAATTTTTTGGATATTCCGCTTGAAAATTTCCTATTTCCCATTTCCCAAAAGGGGATGAGGGAGCGAGCGAAGGGGAGGGGAGAGTGGCTGGTCTGAACTGGCAATTTTGAGAGAGAGGTCATGTGACTGAAACATGCACGTGATCGTATATGCACGTGATCACTTTATTTTGTATTGTTTCAACATAGTTTAATACGAATGGATTGTAAGATCTATGACACCAGATAATAAGTGTTATTATCGTTCATACTTATAAAGAATAATAGTAATTACTATTTGAAACAGTTGTATAGTATTGTATATTATTTACTTACTTTGTACATTAGAAGAAGGGAGATAGAACTCTTTAATTAATAAATATACTTATTAACAGTACTAATCTACCACCAAATAGACGAATAGAATAAATACCATAACAGCATTTATTCGACGTACAATTATTAGATATCTACAACTAAAGAATTCACAACAAAGAATACAATTTCTTATTTCTTGTCATTTTGTCAGCCGTTCGAGTTTCGGACGACGCGTCTTTTCTGCCGTTTTCCTGTTGTTTCTTTTTTTTTGTTTGAGTTTCGTTCGACGTGGAGAAACTTTTACAGCAGAGCAAGCAACTCAATTGTTCATTATAAGAGAGAGACCTCTCTACATCCAACGATGGGAACTATAGCATCAGGACTAACTCATGGTTATCAACGTTGGTTATATTGTTTTGGTGTCTTGGTAAGATCTAACTGCACTACTTTGCTCTTGTCCCGTTTCTTGACTGCTGTTTAGGGTTTTAAGATTGGTACAGATCGACTGATAGAGAACGTGAAAGTGAAAGTGACAGGTAAATACCAACTGGGTGAGGAAAGTTTGCTGCATCTTCAAGTATGAATGCCATATATAACCATGCCGTGAAGCAGAAGAACCAATTGCAACAGGACATTGCTAAATTTGAGAAGGATCATTTGACAGCTCCGATTTCATTACAAGGTTCTGTATCTGCGACTTTAGTCGCCTTTGAGAAAAGTATCAGCCAGTACAAGGATCGATTGAACCAGTTCAAGATCGACACCAAAAATTCAACTACAGATCCAGGAAATGAAGAAATTATAGCAAAAGGTGAAAGCAGACTGGCGTCATTGTCCCAGGAACATAAAGAATTCGCAGCTAAATTTAAGGAGTTAAAACAAAAATATAACGAATCCAATGCAAGAACCCAGTTATTTTCCTCTTCTTCCACTAGTGAAAACCCTTTCAGTACAGAGAATAGCAATATGAATAAACGTAACATCGGAGGTCCTCAGAACTCAGCCTTGCCAATGACTAATGATGACCATTATGACGACAAAGGAATGTCAAAATTTGATGGCTTGATGAAAGAACAAAGTATCTTCCAAAGAGGTAATGCCCAACTAGATATGATTTTAGAAATGGGTCAACAATCTCTGGAAGATATAATGGAACAAAATCAAATTTTACAGAAAGTTCAGGATCAAATGACAAGCGGTTTAAGAACTTTAGGTGTATCGGATGAAACAATCACAAATATTAATAGAAGAGTGTTCAAAGATAAATTGATCTTTTGGATAGCACTTGCATTGATGTTCATAGGTATGTACTTGGTTTTAAGATGGTTGAGATAGCAGGGTTATTATCTTTATATACATATACTGAAAATTACTATTTACAGATTTTAAAAGAACATATTTTTTCATAATAAAAAGAATAATAACAATATTATTATTATTTTACTAATTCCATTCTTCTAGATTCTCCAATATATACAACAAGAATTGCCACCTGTAGCTATCTGTTGCTTCTCGTTCAAACACAGCTTTGTGTTTCGTAAGTCTTCGTAACTTATCTTTTCACCTGGCTTCAAAAGATCCAGTGAATTTTCAGGTCTAGCTGTCTTGATCTTCTTACCATTAGCTAGCTGGTAACTACTATTTAAACCCCATCCAACGACGTATCCATTTTCTAGCTTACATAATATGTGTTCTTCACCGCAACTCCAATTGGCAACCTTGTCCTGAGTATCATTTAGAACCTTTAAAGGAATTGGACCAGATTGGGAATTTTTGAAATTTCCTGAGCCCAATGTACCATTTATACCATTACCAAAAGCAAAATACTTAGTCTTGACAAACTCTGAATTATTCTGGAAATGTTTCTCCATTGTTTGTGATCCCACTGTTAGAAATGTGGCTTCGGCTGTTGCTTCGATGTTTGTAGCTCTATAATATTCATCTCTAGAAAAATATGGCTGAAGTTTTCCAACTTGCTTAGGAAAGGAGACAATTTCTGAGTTATATGAAATCGGATATCCAAGTTGACCATAGGTATTAGATCCAAATGTAAATACATTACCTTTTGAATCCCTTGCAGCAGTATGGTAGTTACCACAACAGACTTGTTCAATTTTTCTTACTATTAAATTATCTAATTTGTCAATACCTTTGTTAAGTAACTCAATTTCATATAATTTATGTGGCTCTGGCAAAGTATCAAATTGGGAAAAGGCAGGAATACCAAACTGACCTCTTGATTTAGAATTATTTAACAATTTCAACCCAGTAGAACATGAATACGCCTTACCTTTATTTGATAAAAGTACTAAATGCTCTTTACCAGCATCAAAATCCGTCACATATTTTTCTCCTCTATCTTGGAAACTGTGTTTAACGTCTAATTTCCAATTGTAAGTTGTATATTTCTTCCAAGGTAGAAAGAACGACCTTTTCAAAGATTTGTGGGATTCTAGAGCTTGATCATTCTTAATAGGAATCACCAAAATTTCACCTGATCTATTCAATCCATAGGCAGTGTTGTTTGATACCTTCAATTTAACTAAATTTTGATCGGCTAATAATAAATGTTTTCTATCGCAGTTCCAGGATAATAAATCACCTCTGGAATCAATGGCTAAATTATTACCATCGTTACCTAAATATATGTCGCGAAATTGCATATTATCAAGATGAGTAACACGTAAGGGGAATGCAACATCAGTTTCCTTCCCAGAAGAGTTTACCTGATGGCCCCAATAGTACACACCTGGAACAGTAGGACCTAATTGAGTTTCAGGAACAATTGGTACAATTGGAGTCTTTTTTTTAAATATTTTTTTATTAACATGCCCTTCAGAAGAAGAGTACCCTAATAATCTTTTCCCCTTTCTGACCCACCAACTTTCAATTGCTGGCCAATTCATATATGTAGTACCAACAGCACCAATACCAACTACAATCATAATGCCCTGAAACATTGCAGTCAGTTTTGCCATTCTTTCCATACGTTCATGAGATTCTTTCTTCATTTCTTCTTCTGAACGTCCTTGATTCCAATCATAATTCAATTTAGACTCCCTAACAGACTTATAATCCGAACCATTCAATCTTGGAGCAAACAAATCAGCTTCATCAACTCTAAACTCCTCCTTCTTATTCAAGATGCTCCTTGTTTGGTGGATTAAACGTTTAGAACTTAAAGTACCATATCTGGGGAAGCAGTGAACCACATTCTTACCAGAAGCAGACAGCATATCTATAAAGGCAATATCAACTACAATAAGGTTGATACTGAATCACTGAAAGTCAATTGTATACCTTATACTTCTAATGTAAACTTCGTTGTTTCTTATATAGTTTGACATTTTTCACTTCGATGAGATGAGACATCGATTTTAAATATTACTGACAAAAAAATCTATAGAAGGCTATAAATGTATAAGTAATAAAATGATCAAACTTTGTCATTAAAGAAGATTAGAAATTGGTTGTACATGTAACTAACCAGGTCTCTGGTAGCAGTTTATGATGAAAGTTGTGGGCTTAATAAGTAGACGAGACTTCCATGTTTCTCGTAGGATTTTGAATTCGTTTGAATCGGTTCATATCAGTGATACCAATAGGTATAAGAAATTGTTAATTGAAAGAGGTAATTTTACAGATCAACAGGCCAATACTATAGTAGATTTGATGACAGATGCTATGAAAGGTGGTATTAATCATGTTGCTCAGGATCTGGCAAAACGTGAGAAATTAACACAGCTTACTTATCAGCAAAGGGTTGATTTTGCCAAATTGAGAGATCAATTGTTGTCGTCAGATAAAACAGAATTTAATAATATACAAAATGAATATGAAAGATTACGTACTGATCTTGAGAAACTGAGGAACAAATTGAGAGAGGAAATCTCAAAGGCTAATGCTGGTTTTAAATTAGACTTGTCACTAGAGAAGGGTAGAATTCGTGAAGAAAGCAGTCATCATGACATTCAAATTAAGCAGATAGACACAAGAATTGATGAAGAAATTGTAAATATGAAAATCCAAATCGATTCTGTTAAAACACAAGTCATGCAATGGCTATTTGGTGTCTGTACAGGTACATTCGCTTTAGTGTTAGCATACGTTAGATTAATTTCCTAGGACAATTGAGTAAATATATATTTAAAAGAATAATTGTTCATAATAATAATTGTATCTCCAACTGAGGTTGATGTAGCCTACTATTCTTACTGAGGATCAGATTCTAACTAAAATTAAATTAAATTAAATTGTATAAAATAATATATGAAAAGTATATCAATGTTTGTTTGTAAACCAATAATGAGATTATTTAAAAAATTGTATGTAATACAGCATCTTACAAGTTGAAGATTTCGTTCAAGATTCTAACAGTGTCAGCTGGAGATGAAACGGCATGGCCGATAGTTCTCTTATCTTCATAGATTTCGTAATCGTTACCACCCTTAGCAGTCTTGTCACCAAAGAAATGGATTTCCTTGAAACCATCCTTTTCGACGTGTTGTAGACAGTAAGTTTTATCCCAACCAGTTGGGAAAACATCGAATGAGATTTGACCACCAATAGAGTAAGTTAAACCTAAATCTGGGAATTCCTTCTTCAAAGCTTCGACGAATTTGGCTCTAATTTGATGAACTTTATCGTATTGTTCGTATTCATTTCTTTCTTCGGTAGAAGCATTTCTACCAATTGGAGAAACGTTAATCATACCATTTCTGAATTCTAAGAAAGTACCTCTTCTCTTTGGTAATTCAATAGAAGATAAATATTTCAAAATGAAAACAGCTAATTTATTGTATTGTTCTTCACCAATCCAGTTAATGAAAGATTGAGAAGCTTGTTCCTTACCTAATCTGTAAGCAGTTAAACCGTTTTCAGAGAAAGAGTAGTCAAAGTCATCTAAAACAGTTGGACCTAATTGTTCAAGTTGTTTAGATAAATCAGAACCACCAACGAAACCAATGCAAACTTTTTGTCTCAATTTCTTCAAAGTTTCTTTAACTTCATCAGAGATGGTCAATCTAGCTGGGGTTAAAGTACCATCGACATCGAATAAAACTAAAACGTCTGGCTTTTCTTTGTATTGAAATTCTGGGGCAGTCATTTTATTAATTATGGTTATAGATTATAAGTAACTACTGCGAGTTATCGATAATTTTAAAGTCAGTTCTATTTCGAAATGAGGAAACAATTACAAATGAATACAATTAATTAATAAGAATTTTTAAAATTTAATTCAGTCGAAGAGAAATAATAATCAGAATGATATTTCGATCGTTTTAGTTTATATATCTTTGAAGTTTATCATTGATACGTGTTTCCAATACAAAGAAATGTTGAAAGTGCAGAGAATACCGGGAGAAGAGGAAGTGAAAAATTTTGATATGTATATTGCGAATTATGATGATGAAAAAAAATGAGACACGAAATATTTGATCAGCCAGAATATTTCAAATAAAAAAAACACGAAGATTGCTGCTATGGTTGCTAGAATGAAGTTTGGCATCGTATTTCAATTTATTCGAGATGAGTTATTTCCACATGTTTCTAAAATTAGGAATTACGATTAATATTGTTGGAACAGATTACGCTACGACATCCATCATCCATCTTCTATTCATTGGATTGAAATGCACAGTACTGCACGACAAGACATATCTTAAATTCGAGATTGTTCAGAATACTATTACTTTCCATTTACCTATAAAAATAATACATAATATATTATATTGTAGTTATAAATTTGAAAAATTGTAGAATTTCAATACGAGGAATAAATAAATCAGATTAAATTAAAGTTAATTAATTTAATTTAATAAATTTAAGCCTTGGTGAAGTATTCTGGGAATTCTCTGAAGTTATCTTCCAAAGAACCCTTCTTAGACAAGAACTTAACGAAAGCACCGTCGTCCTTGACTTCACCAGCATCTCTTCTCTTAACGTATTCAGGTCTGTCCAAGTTGGTGAAACCCCATTTCTTGGAGATAATGATCTTTTGTTGACCTGGGAACTTGTATCTGGCTCTTCTCAAACCTTCAATAACAACGTCCTTGTTGTTGTCCTTGGTTCTGACAGAGAAGATAATTTGACCAATGTCAACTCTGGCAGCTAAACCGTGTGGCTTACCCCAAGCACCTCTCATACCTTGTTGCAATCTATCGGCACCGGCACAAGACAACATCTTGTTGATTCTTAAGACGTGGAATGGGTGGACTCTGACTCTCAAGTGGAAAGCATCTCTACCGGAGATCTTGGTCATGTACTTGTTAGCACAAATACGGGCAGCTTCTAAAGCTTCAGAGGACAATTGTTCCAATTCGTTAGAAACTAAATGGACACATAATGGGAACTCATCAACAGTAGCCTTCTTTTTACCTAAATCGTAAATTCTGATCTTAGAGTCTGGGACAGCTCTGTTGTATCTAGACTTTGGGTAAGGCTTGTTCTTTTGGTATCTGTAACATCTAGCTGGTCTTCTAGCCATCTTGAATAGATTGTTAGTTGATTAGTTAGTTATCTTTTTATATGATAACAAGAAATATAAAAGTGTAAAATAACTTAAATATTAAACAAATGTTATTTATAAAGGACAATTGCAAGAGAGCATAAGTATGAATCCAAATATTAAAACAAGAATTACATCCATATATTTATAATGATGGATGTATTAAACAAGTCTGATTGCCATTTCCTTGATTATTAATTACTAATAATCTCTACAGTATCCCAGCACATCGTACTAAGTAAAGCCTTTTGAAAAAAATTTCTGTTCGATGATCTGGGTTGAAACTTTTCAAAACAGGAACCAAGACAATATTTGTGCGTGGGTTGAAAACAGTAATCGGTTACGGAAAAAAAATGAATTACTTTTAAGAGAAAAAGGGAAGAAGAGAAGAAAATACGAAAGCGTGTGATAAATTATCGGTGTGGTGTAGTGGTTTATCAACATGATTCTTTGATTACTGTATTGGACTAGATGTACTGGTGTATAAAGTCACTTGAAATTGGGATTGGGGATTTCATGGTGTGTTATTTCCCATTATATATCAGTGTCACGTGGACTCTGTGGTGCTGGCCTTCTTTATTATTATTATGAATATTTACATGGCAAGAAATGTTTGCTGATGGGCTGTGTCTCTTTGTTTAGCTCCAGATTAAGGTGATTTAATGGAGGTTCTTGGGTTTTTCTGAAACTACAGGAATCGATTCTTATAAATAATATTGAGAGTTGAATTGGATGGGTAGATTGGTCCACTTTAGAATGCTGGAACACTCACTCATTATTGGCAAATGTTTCTTGAGGGGCGGGTAATATAGTTGTTCTTGTCGGGAGAATTTGGAGTATCATGTGATCATTTCCTAATGAGGCAGTACACTGTTTTATTTGGTAATACCTTCTGAAAACAGTAATTATGTGGAAATGAAAAATTTGTTAATACTCATCTCATCTCATCTCAATCTATAACTGAAAACTAACTATATTGATAAGAAGTCTTTAATAAAGGGGATCCCCTTTATAATATCCTTATTTATATTCATATATCTTGGGCCAACTTAGAACTAGTTACGTAGATTATAGTGTATTAGCAATGGGTAGATATTCTGTTAAAAGATATAAGACCAAAAGAAGAACACAAGATTTGGATCAATGTTATGATGATTTAACTTCAAAAGACAGGATTCAATATTTGTTGAACCAACCTTTGGATGAAACAAAGCCAGGTTTAGGTCAGCATTATTGTATCCATTGTGCTAAATATATGGAAACTTCTATGGCTTTAAAAACACATTTGAAATCAAAGGTTCATAAAAGAAGAGTTAAAGATTTAAAAGGTGTACCATATACACAAGAAGTTGCAAATGCTGCAGCTGGTGTGGATTTAAATAAATTTTTGAGTAGAGTTGAACAAATCAAAAATAACGTCGGTCCAGAGAAGGAATCTAATGAAGTTCTATTGAAAGATCATCTAGATCAATCACTGGCAAATATTAAATCTACTGAGCCAACATTACCATGGGCTAACGATGCGGAAACTAACACTGAAGAAGTTAAAACTACTGATGAAGTCGCAATGCAATAAACTGGTCTCCTTTCATTCATACTGAAATCCCTATGTTCTTCACGGCATATTAGGAAATAAATGACGTTGTAAATTCTTATTTCTGATTATTTCTCTTCCAAGGATTATATTTATATATATATATGTATATCGGTTGATTAAATCTGACTTGAGATAGAATCCCCAATATATTAGGATTATTTAGGTTCATAAATGGTGTATAATTTTGTATATTAAATTAAGTTGTATTTAACTAATAGCATATCCACAAAAGATTAAATATTAATATAATTATGCCTGGCCAAAGTCAACGTGACCGGTTTCCTCTGCATGCCTGGCAACCTGACGCTCACCCACCATGATTTTTTTACAAATATTACAAATAATTTTATCCTTCCTTGTATTAAATGAATAGCCACTGCTCTTCAATTGAGAAGCGATCTTTAATCCACCTGACAATACAATATTACTTAATAATTCATTTTCTTTATCAAAAACAGTTTGGCCATTTTCTAATTCTATAGCATCATAATGAATACCATTGAATACAACCATAATAAACTTTGAATATTTATCTTCATTGAATTTCTCAATCTTTGATGCATCTATATCAATGACATATATTGCTGTCTCTGTCTTTTCTGATAAAATTGCAATCTCGATACCGCCACCCCAAGAATCTTTCTTCATAATCCAATTAGCATATTCAGAATTAGATTTCTCTAATATTGCTTCATTGTATGTCTGTTTGTTACTCAATATCTCTTGTGATACTACACTTCGAAGTTCATTTGATAAACCTATATCTTTATATATACAATAAGAAATGGCATGGAATAAGCATGAATTATCATCAGGCACTACGTGAGATTGCAAAATATTTGTATCTCCTTCGGGTAAGTCAATATAAACCTGATTCTCCTTCAAGATTCCAGTTTCTTGTACTTTTGGGATAGATCCTCCACTAATTATTCCACCACTTGAGCTTTCAGATTCAGTAGAAATTGATATCTTTTCACCAGAACTGATATTTAAATCCCCTAAATTCTTCCCTAGAGAATGTTCGTCCAGCACAAGCTTGATTGGTGGATACCCATACCTCATTGATGTTATTGAAGTATTCAGGTCAATCACTTTCACCAAGTCTTGTAATGTAGCATCATTATCGATCGTTACTACTTTGTTAAACCCTTCAGCACCACTTATCTTCAATCTCATTCTCAAAAACTCTGTCTTTAATAAAATTTATAAATCGATTATAACGATGAAATGTACGTGATCACTGCCAGTACTTGATAATACAAGGTCCTTTTTTATGAGAGATTGATCTAGTTATCCTTAAGTGATTGAGTTTTTTAATATTATCATTCTTTAAATAAAGTTATATTCCAAGTTCCCTTTATTACTAATAAGGTTATCTCACGTGACTTATTAAGTAAGAATAGACATAGCCATTATATCATGAGAGATCAGCCAACAAACAGCATAGCAATGGTAGCTGCAAGCAGTAATTGATATGATTTAACATAAAATGACAATATATAATGAAAATAGATATAAATGCTATACATAATTATTTTTTGATGGGTTTGAATATGGTTACTGTAAGCTTAGTTCAGTACTGAAAGAAATCGTACTTCTAAGAGATCATGTTGTTATTTTGTATTTAATAGTTGTATCGAATCTTCTATTATTTGTAACAGTTTATGTGATAGAACTTCGTGAACTAGAATTGCAATAAATAGTGAAAGAATTAATAGTAGTAAAACGATAATTACTCTTGATTTTGATTTAATTTCTCTTCTTAATTTTACCAATTCTTCCTTCTGCTCCTTAATCAATTCTTCATAGTAGTTTTTATCTGTAGCTTGAACCATTGAAAGATCAGATTTCGCAATGATTGTTCTGTCACCTCCTTCTATTTCCTGTGTTAACATGCCGATCGATGTGTATTTATCAATGAAATCTTCTATGAATGGGACGATTGCAGTGGCTGTATCAATTTGTCCACTTTTGCAACTAGATTCAATCATTCCCTTGATCCAACTTGATGCAGTCCAAGTAATCCAATATGAAATTCTTAAGTTACAGGTTGTTGGGGAAGACCATCTGAATAGATATCTAGTGTCAGTATGGAAGCTATTCCCACTTGGTACATCTGGAGTTTTGGTGACATTTATAATATCAATAAAATTTTCGAAATCTAAATGTACAATAGTATCAGTCACATAGCATGGAGTTGATTTAGGGCCTACGGGATAATGCAAACCTTTGATATAATTGTATTCCCTGTAAGACAATCCATCATTATCTTTCTTATCGAACTTACTGATTTTGGAAAAATTAGATATATCCTGAGTTTTGTAAAACTCTGGCCAAAATTCTGTATTATTCTCTGAAAACATTAATTCATATAGTATACCTGGAGGGACATTAAATTCTGTGTCACATAAAATAAATTCATTTTTATGCTTCTTTGTAGGGAAATGAGTTTCATGAAATACTCTAGGACCATTATAAGAAAAGTTTGAACCCTTTTTAAAACGTATTCCATTTTGAGGTTGGATTTCATTTGCCTCTAAAAGAATTTCATTAGTGATTCTCTCAATTCCATCTGTAGAAGATGAATCACTAGAGAAGGTTTCTTTATTATCTAATGAGCCATCGTCTATTGATCTTATAACATTATCAATAATAGCGTCATTATTACTACTGTGTGATCTTCTACTAGATGGAACACTTGGATGGATCAACTCCGAATATGGTTTGTTTGCGAAAAGTGGATCAAACGATTGCTGCCTTTCTACAAGTAACGTTGGTGAAATAGCTCTTCTCAATCTTTCCATTTCTGAGGTCTCTGTAGATATTTCGGCTACTTTTAGCCAAATGTCCCTGACTAACTCCAAAACTATAGCTTTTGAAGATAACTCACTAAATTGATACTTGTCATAATTTGTGACAACTAGTATAGAATTCGAATGAAGTTCTCCAGAAAGGACATTTTCTATCGATAGAGTATCACTAAAGGGTATTATTAACCTTAATGGATCACTGAAAGTAATAGAATGGAAACACAAGTGCTTTTCAGAGATATATATCTTACCCTTTAAAGTATGTTCGTTAGTAAAAGTACACTCAAACTTTTCAATCAATCTTTCGTTAACACTTATATCTAAGAATTGGCTATGAAAATAATCATTTTCATCACTAGAAGCATACTTATGGATGGCCTCTAAGCTTCTATCATTATATGGAAGCCTTGATTTTGAAATGTAAGAATCATTGGATGAAACTGACGAAATATCTTCACTCATTAACCTTCCGATACTCATTGGGTTAGGATATTTCAATGACGATTCTGTAGTCTTTTGATTGATTTTATTTAAACTTGATCTTGAATTTCTAAACTGATCCTTATATCTAGAATCTTCATTTGACTTAAACGACAATGAAGAAATAATATTCTCGAAAAATGAATTCGAAGAATTGAATGAACTATTTTGAGGATCATTATTATCTATCAATTTATCAGTTTTTTTAGCCAGATCTGCTACCGATCTCCATGCAACAGAATCATCGTAATTTGTTGTAGCACCTGAAACAGGTTTGATTTTAGACAATTGTGGATCTGCAGGAGTCGATTTAATTGCAACAGCAATCGACCTATCGAATGAAGAAACGGAATCAGAACTCTTCTTTGTCCTCTCATTGTTCTTCAACAAGGAAGGTGAAGATAGATTCGTATCCTTGACATTACGACTCTTATTCCCATCTCTTATAGTTTCATTACTGGTTTGCAGAGTAATTCTAATTGAATCAGAACTTGATCCAACACTACCAGCATCTGAACCCCTAGAATTTGACCTTTTGCTCCCCATAAGTGAGGAACTCTCAGAACCAATCATTTGGAAAGTGTATAAACTAAATATTAACCTTACTTGAAACTCCCCAAAGTCCCTTCTTTGCAACGATTATTACCAACAATAAGGAATCAATGATAAAAAGGCTGATTGCTATAAGCACAGTAATGCACAAACAAATATCGATATTAGCTTTTACCTCTCAAAAAGATAAACCCTTAACTGCAAACAAAGAACAGAACTAGCCATCCACTTCCTTGTCTCTGATTCACCTCTTAAATGAAAACTAACTCTTGTATTTCAATCCATCGTCTCATCACTTGTAGATATAAACTATCAGTCATTGCAATTTTAAAGAACCTTTATTTCCTTGCCTTCCCTTTAAATGAACGAGGACACACTAGAAGCTGTCAAGATCAAATACAAACAAGACACTGATGTAAAACGATAGGGATCCAGCTGTACATTGAAGCACATTTAAGTTATAAACAGGATCCAGTTCCCTGTAGATTCCAAGAATTACAAAGGTTCATATTTGTTAAGAAAGAGAGAAACATTATGTTGAACCATCTATAATAGGATAAAAGTTGCCAAAAATCGTTGGTTTAACCACTGTTGGGGCTACAAAAGATAACGGAATAGACTCTAACAACACATTAGACATATGACCACACCCTAGTGGTTCAAATATACCCCATCTATGGGGTATATCATAGTCATTGTCTGTCATTGTCATGGTGTTTTCGTTGTTTTATTCGTCAAGGTATCAAAAAGTTCATCAACTTTTAATGAAATTTCGAAATCTGAAAAATTATACAAGAGGTTTTAAAACAAGATTTGGTTTAAAGTTTGGTTAAAAGGAGTTGTTTTAAGCTTTTGAGTTTAGGTTTTGGTTGATTCAGAGAGTGCTACCAGGTTAGTGAGATGGTTCTGCTAAGGGGAGTTGGTTTGTTGCGTTCTAGCAACGTTACTAGTGGTGGTGCAGCTGCCACTGCTTCTAGAGGTGGAAATTTATTTAAATGTTTAATGAATGCTAAGAGACCAGATGGGATGTTGGTCAACAGGAGGGGTTTCCATGGGAGTATGGTTTATAAGGCTGCCATGAGTGAAGAAGAAGCCTCTGAGTTGAGTGATGTGACTAAACAGTTGACTGGGGCAGATTTACAAGCAGCTTCGAAATTGCGTAACATTGGTATTTCTGCTCATATTGATTCTGGTAAGACTACATTCACTGAACGTGTTTTGTACTACACCGGTAGGATTAAGGCTATTCATGAAGTCAGGGGTCGTGATAACGTGGGTGCCAAGATGGATTCTATGGATTTGGAAAGAGAAAAAGGTATCACTATTCAATCTGCTGCTACCTATTGTTCTTGGAATAAAGACCAGAAGGACTATCATTTTAATTTGATTGATACACCAGGTCACATCGATTTCACCATCGAAGTCGAGCGTGCTTTGAGAGTTTTGGACGGTGCCGTCTTGATTGTATGTGCTGTCTCTGGTGTTCAATCTCAAACTGTTACTGTTGACCGTCAAATGAGAAGATACAACGTCCCAAGAATTACTTTTATCAACAAAATGGATCGTATGGGTTCCAATCCTTTCAAAGCTATTGAGCAAATAAACTCCAAGTTGCAGATTTCTGCTGCTGCTTTGCAAGTTCCAATCGGTTCAGAATCAAATTTGAGAGGTGTTGTCGATATTATTAATCGTGTCGCTTACTATAATAAAGGTGACCAAGGTGAAATTATTGATAAGGCAGAAGTTCCAGAAGATTTGAAAGATTTGGTTGAAGAAAAAAGAGCTTTGTTGATTGAAAAATTGGCAGACGTAGACGATGAAATCGCTGAATTATTTTTGGAAGAACAAGAACCTACCGTTGAACAAATCAAATCTGCTATCAGAAGAGCAACAATTGCTAGAAAATTTACCCCTGTTATGATGGGTACCGCTTTGGGTAACACTGGTATTCAACACGTCCTAGATGCTATTGTTGATTATTTGCCAAATCCATCTGAAGTCTTGAACACCGGTTTAGACTTGTCTAAAAATGAAGCTAAAGTGCCATTGGTTCCTTCTATTCAACAACCATTTGTCGGTTTGGCTTTCAAACTAGAAGAAGGTAAGTATGGTCAATTGACTTATATTCGTGTTTATCAAGGTCGTTTGAGAAAGGGTAATTACATCACCAATATTAAAACTGGTAAGAAGGTCAAGGTTTCCAGATTAGTGAGAATGCATTCTGAAGAAATGGAAGATGTTGATGAAATTGGCTCTGGTGAAATTTGTGCTACTTTCGGTATTGATTGTTCTTCTGGTGACACCTTTACTGATGGTAATGTCAAGTACTCGATGTCCTCTATGTACGTTCCAGATGCAGTTGTTTCTTTATCTATCAAACCTAAGTCTAAAGATTCAACCAATTTCTCTAAGGCCTTCAATCGTTTCCAAAAGGAAGATCCAACTTTTAGAGTGAAATTTGATCCAGAATCTAAAGAAACTGTTATTTCTGGTATGGGTGAATTACATTTGGAAATTTACGTTGAAAGAATGAAGAGAGAGTATAATGTTGAATGTGAAACAGGTAAGCCACAAGTTTCCTATAGAGAGTCTATTACAATTCCAGCCGAATTCGATTACACTCACAAGAAACAATCTGGTGGTGCTGGTCAATTCGGTAGAGTCATAGGTACCATGTCTCCAGTTGAAGGTGAAACCAGAGATAATCTATTTGAAACTGCTATTGTAGGTGGTCGTATTCCAGATAAATATTTGGCTGCATGTGGTAAAGGTTTTGAAGAAGCTTGTGAAAAGGGTCCACTAGTTGGTCATAAGGTCTTGGGTGTCAAAATGTTAATTAATGATGGTGCTATTCATGCAGTCGATTCTAATGAATTGTCTTTCAAAACAGCCACCATGGCAGCTTTCCGTGACGCCTTTTTGAAATCTCAACCAGTTGTTTTAGAGCCAATTATGAATGTATCAGTTACCTCTCCTAATGAATTCCAAGGTAATGTTATTGGTTTATTGAACAAGTTGCAAGCTGTGATTCAAGATACTGAAAACGGTCACGATGAATTTACTGTTAAGGCAGAATGTTCTTTAAGTACCATGTTCGGTTTTGCCACTTCTTTGAGAGCATCCACTCAAGGTAAAGGTGAATTCTCATTAGAGTTCAGTCATTATGCTCCAACCCCACCTCATGTCCAAAAAGAATTGATGGCAGAATATGCAAAGAAGCAAAAGAAATAATGTTTGTGATCAATGGACTTAGTTAATTCCTATTCTTATTGTTATATATCTTGTAAATAATATATTAAATAAAAAGGATAAATATATACCTTCAGATTATTTTTTAATCGGTTATCATAGTTTAGCACTAAATTGGAGGCCTTGATTATTTTTAAATCGTGAGGGAAAATCATTGACAATATGTAAGAATCTTCTTATAGATTTAAACACACACGCGTATGCATATATATATATATATATGTATATATGTATATGTGTACATGTGATACAATCAGAATATCCGAGCCATGATTCTATTTTTTTTATTATCTTTTTCCGTTAGTTACTATTCAGTTGATGTCAACATCATTGAAGATGGGGAATGCGAACAACTTATATGCTTAATTTATTCAGACCGAGTTGGATCTAGCCTTTGCCTTTCTCTTCTTTCTCTTTGGTTTATTAGTTCCATTGCTCTCATCGGCACTAGTGTTACTATCATTTTCATTTTCCTTTACTTTTTTCTCCTCAATTGGAATAGTGAAGGTAGTGTTACCTATAGTTTCTCCGAATACCAAAGGACCCACCCAAGGTTGGATGTTCCATTGCAATTTGAAGGTCAAGTCTCTTCCTTCCATCTTATCCTCCAAATCCCAGACGGTGTATTTTGATTTCTGATTTGACAATTTCAATACAGCATCTTTCTTGCTAGTAATAATCTTGTCCCAAAATGTTACTACACTCTTAGTGTTAGGCTTTTTCGAACCATCATACTCAGCCGTCAAATATATGAATACTTGTTTTGTGTTCCAATTGAACAAAGAAGACAAATCGACATCCAAATCGAAATTCACTTTTGCATTTTGCTTTGGTTTCCCTTGATTAGATCCATAGTATCTACTGGTTCTCATGTTCAAATTAGCCCCTAGAGCCTGCACAGCACCTGGAGTATTAAAAGCATCATCCCTGTATAATTGGTACCACGAACTGGCGACGATAAACCCAATAATAAAGAAACTAAAAGTTAAAGCCTGGTTAGAGACGTTCTGCAAACGCTGCGATAGAGAGAACATCGGATCTTATTTTTTTTTTGCTTCGTTGATAATTGGTGGTTGGCCCCCAAAAGAAAGTCCTAGATCTGGGTTCTTATAGCAGATCTAATCCTAATATAATCAATCTTTCCTGCAAACCTTCAAAAGCCAATACCATTCCCTTAAGCTCTTCTTAATCATTCTCGAAACCTCTTCAATTCCAATAATCAATCGTTGGATGGTCTAAACAGTTTCGAAAGTTTCATTAATTCCATATATCACTATATACGTTGCAAATTGTTTGTTTGTTTCCCTTGCTGATATGATACACAATATTTCCCCCCCATCGGCTGTGATTTTATTTTTCCCGGGAAATTAAAGGTGTCGGTCCAGAACTAAACCTTTAATTTGAGATGGGCGACGTCAGAAAAGTTGAGATGAGCAGTTTGGTGACGGTGTCAGTAAATGTTAGTTTGTGTCAATTTTGGTGGGTTGTCTCTTTATTATTTCGTTATTGTTATGCAGTATGAGTGTTCTTGGGATTGTTGATCTTGTTCAAGTTTTCGATTTAAAAGAGAGACAAGGTTCAAGAGGTGGGAGGGAAAGGAAGCAGCAAGAAGCAGCAAGAATCAAGAGGGAAACTAGAACAGTGATCCGTCAGTTGATTAATTAATTGAATCAAAGTGTTTGATCTATTACGATGGAGTGGTTTCCCATTTATAATGCCGGCAAACTGTGCAGTATTGAACCTACTTATCAGTTAACTAGTATAAATTTAATTATCTCTATAGCAACTTTTACCACTGGGATGGATATTACATCTTTGATTGTATTTCTGGATAAACCGCAGTTTTTGAATTATTTTGGTGTTCCAAATGCTTTGGAACAAGGTTTGCTCGTTGGTTCGAATCCAATGGGTGCTCTTTTGGGCTGTATCCTTTATGCCATTCTAGTGGCTAGGATGGGTCGCGTCACAATGTTTCGTTTCGGTACACTTTTATGGATCGTAGGTTCTATTATTGGCATCACATCTGTAGCGTTATGGATGGTAGTTCTATCAAGGCTCATTAAAGGCTTGACAGTGGGGATGTTTTCTATACTGGTCGTGGCCTATGCAAGTGAAGTATTCCCCAAGAGAGGGAAAGGTAAAGCAATGGCTTTTACCCATTTGACACATACAGCTTCTATTGTGGTTATTTATTATGCTAGTGTCTGGTCAACTGTTTTGAAATCACATTATTCGTTCAAGCTTGTATGGGGGGTGGAAATCATTCCTTCATTGATTTTTTTGATATTTTCAATTTGGCTACCTGAATCACCTCAATGGTTGACTGTACATGGGAATTATTCAAAAGCAGAAGCAGTACAAAATAAGATTGCTGAAACTTATAAACCAAATAACAAATCGTTAGTCATTCCAAAATTAAATAAGATAGACTTGGCAACTCTTTATGGAGATGGGATTAATAATTTTAGATACATTGATCTTTTCAGAAGAAATTGTTGGAGACAGACGTTGATGGGATTCTCTCTACAAATGTTAGTTCAGGTAAGTGGTGTCAATTTCTTGATGTTTTACATTATCTATATCTGTGACATGTTGGGTTTAGAAGGAAAGGCCAAGACGTTTTCGGCTTCCGTACCATATTTTATTAATATGATATTGAGTTCTTTACCAATAACTTACTTGGATAAAGTTGGAAGGAGAGATATAACTGCTGCTGGTTCCTTCCCACTTTGTTTAATAATGATAGCAATTGGTATATTTATGGCAATTGATGGACATGAAGTTGAGCCAGAAGTTCAAAATTTGGGAGTGAATTGGGTTGTCAATGCTCATGGTGGACCAATTATATTAGGATTATGTTTTCTTTTTATTTCAATTTTTGCTCTAACTCTGTCATGTGGACCTTGGATATATACTAATGAATTATTACCAACAAGAGCAAAACCAAAGGGTTTTGCGCTATGTATGTTGACTGGTTGGACAGTTAATTTTATACTGACACTTTTAGGACCTTTGATGATTCTACATTTGAAATGGGCAACATTTGTATTGTTTGGTGCGATGACATTTGTGATTTCTGTCTTCGTCGTTGCACTGTTCCCAGAGACTAAAGATTTGGATAATGACGTAATAGATAATTTATATGGGAACTATAATCAAAAGGAAAAGAACAGTTGTTCCAAATTAGAAAAGGCATCGTCATATCCAGCTACCCCTAAAACTTCAACCGAACCATTTGGACCAATTATTATGAATGAATTTGACGATAGTTCTAATGAATTAAAATCGACATAGTTTTTATTGTTGTATCTTTTTAAAAGAAACTTTTAGTTAAGGAATAAATTTTTTTTTATATTTTGCCCTTAAAACTTCATTTCGAAATGAGAAAATCTTGGTAAAAACAATAAATTTGATTTATCTGACTTTAATTTGTTCCTTATATACTGAAATATATAGAAAATTTAGAAATTATATATATATATTTTGGGTTTCTTACAGAGAAGAGAAGACGTGAAAGATTTCAATGTTGAAAAGAAGAGAAGAAAAACATAGCTGTAAATATTTTCCAAAAAATTCTTAGAAACATTTGTGGTGGACAATAGATGGACCACTTTCGTCGTATTCTTGCTTTGAGATCCACATTTGTGG